GGGTCCGGGTGGGTATGGTCTCGCCCAGGGACGGTCTCGCTCACGCTGCTGCCCGACTCGACGGGGGCGACGGCGCCGGCGGCGGCGGGCGACCCCACCCTCGAGGCGCGCCGCGACAGGCTGCTCGCGCTGCTGCGGGGCCTCGCCTCGCGCGTGCCTCCGCGGCTGCGGGAGGCGGCCGCCCGCCGCGGCGGCGCTTGGTTGGCCGACGAGTCGAGCTACCGAGCGGAGCGCGCCTCGCTGTCACCTGCGGAGGTGCGTGCGCTGCTCGGCCAGCCGGAGCCGCCCACTTCCCTCTGCGACTGCTTTGGCGCCGAGCGGGGTGCGTCGGCGAGAGTGGTGGCGTCGTCGCTTTGCGACTGCGCAGAGGCGCGCGCCTCCTGCTCCTCCTTCCTCAGCGGCCCCCCGATCGAGGTCCGTCGTCGAGCGAGGTCGCGCCTCTGGAGGAGCCCTGCTTGAGCCGTGTCTCAACTGCATTGTAGGTCGTCCTCAAGCTAGCTTGCGTCCCGCTCGCCTTCCCGCTCGCCCTCGCGCTGCTGCTGCTCTGGCGCGTCCTGCCCGCGGCGGCGCGGCTGGCCGGATCGGTGCTGCTCGCCGCCTGCCGCGCGGTGCACGCCGGCTGGGTCGCCGCCGTCGAGTGGGTCGCCACCCACTGCAAGCGCTGCGTCTACGCGCTGGTCGACCATTGCTGCTTCCCTCTCTCGCGTGCCGTCCGCGTCGCCACCGCCCCGCTCGTCGCCGCCGCGGCGGCCGCCCTCCGCCTCGCCTCGCCCGCGGCGCGCGCACTCCGCGACGGCACCGCGGTGCGGCGTGCACGCGAGCCGAGATCGCCCAATTCCCCCAGGCGAGAGGAGGCGAGAGGAGCCGAGAGGAGGCGCGAGGAGGCACGAGGAGGCGAGAGGAGGCGAGAGGAGGCGAGAGGAGGCGAGAGGAGGCGAGAGGAGGCGAGAGGAGGCGCGAGGAGGCGAGAGGGGGCGCGAGGAGGCGAGAGGAGGCGCGAGGAGGCGAGAGGAGGCGAGAGGAGGCGAGAGGGGGCGAGAGGGGGCGAGAGGAGGCGAGAGGAGGCGAGAGGAGGCGAGAGGAGGCGAGAGGAGGCGAGAGGAGGCGAGAGGAGGCGAGAGGAGGCGCGAGGTGGCGCGAGGTGGCGCGAGGTGGCGCGAGGAGGCGCGAGGAGGCGCGAGGAGGCGCGAGGAGGCGAGTGGAGGCGAGAGGAGGCGAGAGGAGGCGAGAGGAGGCGCGAGGAGGCGCGAGGAGGCGAGAGGAGGCGAGAGGAGGCGAGAGGAGGCGAGAGGGGGCGAGAGGGGGCGAGAGGAGGCGAGAGGAGGCGAGAGGAGGCGAGAGGAGGCGAGAGGAGGCGAGAGGAGGCGAGAGGAGGCGCGAGGAGGCGAGAGGAGGCGAGAGGAGGCGCGAGGAGGCGCGAGGAGGCGAGAGGAGGCGAGAGGAGGCGCGAGGAGGCGCGAGGGGCG